ATTTTTTAAGTGCTTCTTTGCAGTTTTCGCATTTTCTTATAGGACTTTGACGAGGGCCTAACAATCAAGAAACTAAAATTAATGCCTAATAAAGCATTAATTTTAATATTTTAAAAAACTGTTACGTTTCCAATAAATGATATTATTTCATAAATTACGTTTTTAACTGCTTAAAAACGCAAATCATTAAAAATTCAATACATTATTATTTATTTACTATTTAGTTTAACATAAATATAAAACGTTTACAAATATTTTTAAACGTTTTTCGAATATTTTATTTCTGATTGCATAATATATATATATATATATATATATATATATATATATATATATATATATATATATATATATATATATATAATTTCAAATAAATTAAAATATACCTTGTGATCCGCACAATTTTAACCCAATAAATGTCATCATGACAATGAATGCAACCTTTAAAGCGCTCATGTCTATTGGTATATGCGTTGAGACCACTCTCTATAAAATGTTTCTTTTATACAACCAAAATGACAACCAAAATGACAATGTTTGTATAATCTTTGACACTTTAAACAAAACAATAAAAATGTAGGTGGTATTGAACCTAAATTTTCAGGTGGATTTTATTATTTTTGAATTTGAATTATGTAACTAAATACACTTATAATCATACATACTTTGTACTTTGTAAATTTAATCTTGTAATAAGATTTCGTAAAGTTTTTACATTAACTTTAACATTGTGGAATTTGTTCCGTTTATAGGATTGTGACCCAAATTAACGAATTTGAAGGAGTGAAGTTTACTTTTTACAGATAGTTCAAAATATTTTTTATTAATAAATAAATAAAGACGATCGTAATAAAGTACAAAATAAATTATTATTTTCGAATATTTAAACAAAAATTTTTCAGTTTAGGAAATTGTTAAATGGAAATATTAGAAAAGTTAGTAAATATCTCGTTTTCAATAATGTTTTTTATATGTTAGGTTATAGTTTCAAAAAAAATGTATTGTATGAAAAAGGCATCAATAAAGGCACGCCAAAACCTGCAGATGTAATGCTTGGAAATTTCATTTTTGTCTGATTTGTTGTATAATCATAATCTTAAATATATATTAAGAGATTAAAACTACAACATTCTAAAATTAATATTTGTTAATTTTAAAAACAATATTTGTACAAAAGTTAGGTATTTTCACCACAACTAATAAAATGCTAATATACGCAATCACTGTTACACCAAAACCAATATTTATGCCGGCGTGGCGCTTATGATGCTATACTAATCATATTTTCATAAACAATTAACAAAAAGCATTTTTGGAATGAACTTTTTTTGTTGTTGTTCTTGTTTTTTTGTTGTTTTTTTTTTAGTTATATTATTATGCAGTTTTAATCCTTTTATATTTTTAAGATTATGAATTTATTATAAATTGTAAAGAAATAAAATTTTTAAGGATCCCTTATCTTATACATTTATTAAAATATTCCTTTTAAATCATTTGATGTTATGTTAAGGCAACTTTTTTTAAAGAAATTTATCATTTTTTTATTTTTATTGCACACGAGTTGCGCATTTTAGAATAGATATCCAATCATATTACTTAATTGAGAAAAAAGTTACAAGGCGCATGCCTTATTGCATTTTTGCTTCAATTGCATTACATTATTGCATCTTAATTCAAAGTAACTTGACTCTATTACTTTATAAAAGCTACGTAAAGTTAAAGTTTTAGATATGTTACATAAAGTAACTGAGCTAAACTTAAGGTAATAAATTAAAGTAAAAAACTTGATATTTATTTTGAGATTAAGTTCTCCTATAATTGAAATGGAGTTAAGGTTTCTTGGTTTAACAACAAAAGATCTAAATCGACTAGTGATGATCATAATATAGACAAAAATAAAGGGAAATTTTAATCGATACTTTAGAAACGCTTACAACTCCTAAAACTATAAAAATAATGGAGCAATAATGAAGTTTTTCTTACAAACATAACAACGTTGATATGGATAGAATTGTCACACATTTTTAAACTTTTTAAAGAAAGCTTATTTAAAGTGCAACAAAAGCAAACGCTGCGCATGTATTTGCCAAATCGGAATATACATAATCAATTTCTAAATATTTACGAGGTCAGAAATCCGAAATTCAAATTCAATTTATAAATATTTACATAGCCTGAATCTTTACCCCTTATTTTAGTTTTGTTAACTACAGAAAAACTTTATTTTTTCGCGTTGTTTCCTCTTTAGAATTTGACACAACTAGAAATAAGCTCTCTCACATCAGATGTTTCCACCGTTGTTGAAAAAAAAAGTTACTTAAAGAAAAAAACTCTAATAAGTAAAATAATGAACTTAATTCACAATTATACTGAAGAGAATTTGCTGTTTAAAACATAACAGTATGCCATCATAGTAAGATTTGGATGCTTATAATTGCATAATTGTACATTTTTCATAGAGACATTAAAAAAAAAAATTGTTAAAAACTTTGGTAATTATTATTTTACAGGTTACAGGAAATGAAACTGAATAAAAATGCATTCAGATCATCAATTTTAAAGCAAGCTTTTTGTAAATTATAAATAAACCAGAACACAACATATAAGTGTGTTAAAAATCTAGTTAGAAGTTTTTGTTTTGAATATACAAGAGAGACAACAAAAACCAACGAAAAACATTTTTCTTAAATGATACTAAAGAAAATAAATAAAACAAGTAAAATATATATTACAATTAAAATCATAAAATAAAAAATATTTTAAAGTAGGTTTTGTCTTGTGGTTTGAAATACCACATTGAAACTTTCACTTTTATTTAACTTTCTAACCAATTTTTTTTTATTAAAATTTACATACTTCATAATAAGTTGTATGCCTTTCCCTAATTATTTATCGTAAATTAGTACACTATCTTTATTCTATGTTAGTCAACGTTATTTAAGAAATCTCACTTAAGATATTTTTCTTGAATTTAAGAAATATTTAAAAAATATTGTAATTTATTTTTCCTCATAACAAATTTGTTAATTTCAAATTGTTAAATAAACAAATTTCAGCTGTATATTTCTTCACATTGCTTAACATTTTAGTTTTATTATTCAAAGCAAGGGGGGTGGATCCAGCATTTTATTGGTCTTTGAGATAACTAACTTACAAACATGGAGAAAACTCCAAACACTTACATGTTTATACTTATGTCAAATAAGGATGCTCTGTAAAAAATTGCAATGACTGGAGTCTGGAAACAAAATAGCCCTAAATTTTTCACCCTTTCTGCCCCAAACTTGAAAGCAACAAGTTGATATAATATTTTTTGCACTATTCTCACCTAGACTATAATTCATTGTTAAATTTTAAGATTCATAGTATAATTTCTCAGCTTTTAAAAATTATGACTATATAAAATTTGTAACTTCCTAAAATTCAGTGAGGTTCAAACCTCATAAACTAAAATTGAGTGGGGTTCAAACTTCATTAATTTTAAAAAATCATAATTTTTGAACGCTGAAATATTTTACTATGAAATTTAAAATTTATTGATGTATATATCCATGCATAATAAATAAATGTATAAATCCAGTTAAAAATAGTACAAAAAGTATTTTATCAACTTGTTGTTCTCACGTTTTGAGGGAGGGCAAAAAATTTAGGGCTTTTTTGTTCATTTTTGACATAAAAGATATATTATATTATATAAACGTATAAATATATAAATGTTTGGAGTTTATTCCATGTCTGAAGTTAGCAATAAAATATGACTAATTTAAGAAAAAAATTTTAAGACATATGGACTATTTAGATCTAAATATGCGCGCAAAACATCTTGAATAGCAAATGGAAAAAATAGTTTATTTAACAAAAAAAAATTATGTGTTGTTTTCTATATATTATTTTGCATTATTAGATTTAGTTTTTTTTGCTTTATTTGTCAAAGCATGTGAAACCACACCTGGTAAGTTTGAAGTTATTGCTTTAATGCTTTTATGTTTATAAATATGTTTTAAGTTATGAAATTATAAAAAACATTTGGCTTATCTAACTAAATTTAATTAATAAACAAATTCGTTATTTTTGGTTCAGAGTTTTTGTTATCTTAAATACCCTTTAGACTGTTTAAAAACTTATAATACTTCACTTACATAATTTATATCATTTTGCATTTTTAATTTCTTACTCCAAGTAATCAGCCTTTAATGTTTAAAATACGCTTCGAATGCTTTTAAACTTAATTGCAGTGTTTTTATTGTTTTTACATTTACTGTATTCATTTGCCAAAGGCTGAGAGCATGGCTGTAGGAAGCTATTCATATCATTTAAACCCTAAAATTTTATTGTAAACTATCATTAAAAAGATCATTTGTAAAAATTTAATAGTTATTATTTTATTTTAACAGGGCTTTATTTAAAATCGTATTTAAAAGAGTTACCTTATTAACTGTACTTCACCAATAATTGTAATTGATTATTTATGAAATTTTTGTATAGTGTTTGGAAACTATAATATAAAATTGTACCCTTTATGTTCCACATTTAATAAAGATTTTTTTCTGAAAACTCTCATTAAATCGGTTGCTAGCATTAAAGTGCAAACGATAGGAAGTGAAGGAAATTGAGTTTACGCTAAGAAATTGAGCTTACGCTATATTTATTTGTATTTTATGTTATATATATATACACAATGATACTAGCAATCTTAACAACTAAAAATGCTATGTAGTGTTCTCTTTGATTACGTTAAAGTTATTTATAAAAAATTTGTTTTAATGGCGACATTTTGGTACAGCTCATTTCTGTTGTTTAGTAATTTTGACTCTATTATGTGGTACTTTTCATATATAAATATATTAATAGCGATCTTTAAGCGTCAAAATTAAAATTAACAAAATAAATGTGCTGTATCAAAATGTCGCTATAAAAATTTAATTTTTAAATATTAATTTAAAACATCTGTTTATAGAATATAAACTTATCCTTATAAAACTTTTTTTAATATAATACAATATTTCTAGGGGTTATATATACCCTTATATATACGGTTATTCAAGAATATAAAAAACAAACAACTAATAAATCTTCAATGTAATGTGTTCTTGCGTCTTAAATAAGAAAAAAAGACTTCCGAAACGACGATGTGACGGAATCAAAGTCATCTTTATTCAAACCGCCTTCATTTGGAGAACACAAATGATATTGAATTTCCCAACACTCTTTCACTTAAGGGCCGACGACACGGGTTTTGAAGTAAGGGCGGGGGCAAAATCATCAATTTGTGGAAAATGTCCTCTATATCAAAATTTTTCTTAGAAAATAAAAAAAAAAAAGGTCTTCCAGAAAAAAAGTGGGGAGGGGGGAAGGGTGAAAGTGCCTCCTGCCCCCCCTCCCTCTTCCCCCCCGTGTTGTCGGCCCTGCACTTTTTTCTTAAGATAGAGTCTGCCTCTACTTTAATCGTGTTGTTTTTGTTCCAGCCAAATGCAATATGGCAGTTTTTGCCACTGCCAAATTTTGAATGAAAAATTTGACAAGAATGCGGTTTTATTTGCACATTTGTAATT